AGGCACAGCGGCCAGGCCTTTAATCCTAGCACCTGGAGGACAGAGGCAGGCAGATCTCTGGTCTACATAATGAATTTCAAGTCAACCAGACTACACACAGGGAGTCCCTGTCTCAAAAGGAGGATGAATGGATACTCTGACTGGGCAAGGGAAGGAGCTCTCCTTGTCCAAAGAGCGTTGCTTATCTCATCTGCTTTGGAGGAGGTGGGTTTTTTTATAAAGAGGAGGAGGAGGAAGAGGAGGAGGAAGAGGAAGAGGAAGAGGAAGAGGAGGAGGTTCATCTGGGAAGAGTTGAGGGACGTAGTAGGAGATTGAATATTGATCCAAACACATTTAAATTTTTAAAAATTTAATAAATTAGTGTGTCCAAACAAACAAACAGCCAAGTTCTAGACTGTCAACAAATAGAACAAAAATAAAAGACAGAATGATTCTGTGCTGTAAGTTTCTATCTGGTGAACAGAAAGAGAAACTGTCCTGGTTTGCTTTCTCCCTCTGTGATAAACACAGTGACCAAAAGTGGCTTGGGGAGAAAAGGGTTTGCTTCACCATCAGGAAGGGAAATCAGGGCAGGAACCTGGATGCAGGATTAGACCATGGAGGGGTGTTGTTTATTTATTGACTGGCTCCCCATGGCTTGCTCAGCCTGCTTTTACATACAGCCCAGACCACCTACCCATGGATGGCACAACACACCGTGGGCTAGACTCCCCACCCAATGCCCTTCAGAAGTCAAGAAAATTGCCTACAAAAAAAAAAATAATAATCGACACTTTGAGGCAATCTTTTCCTACTGAGGTTCCCTCTTCCCAGATGACCCGTACTTTTAGTCAAGTTGACAAAAACAACTAACTCACAATGACTCCTTAATTTCTTCATTCAAACTTGCAAATGAAGTAGGTCAAATCCACGCTGGTGCAGGTACATTGTAGCAGCACTGCCTGCCCTGCATGCAGGCGTGCAGTGTCTCCTGGGAAAAAGGGAAGCGTGCCAAAGGGAACAGGCGCTTTAAGGAGAGTACATCAGACCCCAAGCCTATGCCACTGTGTTACACAGCATATGTCTGTTATATTGCTGCCTCCTGAGTGCTGGGATTAAAGGTGTGTGCCACCATGTCTGGTTGTTTGATTTGTGAGACAGCTCACGGACCCCTCAAAATCCATATACCTGGAGATGACATTGAAACCTCAAATTCTCCTGTCTCTACCCTTCTAAGCCCTGGGGTTACAGGTATGAGACTTTAAAAATGGATGCGAGCCCAGTGAGATCCAGCACTAGGGAGGTTGAAGCAGAATTGCTTTGAGTTTGAGGCAGCCTGGCTATATTCAGTTCCAGGCCTGCCTAGGCAACATGGTGGATTACAGGCTACCCTGGGCTAAGATAAAATACATGTGAGCTGGTACGGTGGTACTAGCCTGTAATTCTTGTAGGGACTGATGTGTGACTATGCCCCAGTAAGCACACACTATGCATCCTGGGTAGTTAATTACCCAACAACCAGGGCTGACTGAATAAACTGCAAAGTGTCCAGGAATGGCTAGACACTACTGAATGTAATGCCATTGGCACATGTCTGCAGTCTCAGCTCTCTGCAAACATATAACCAGAGCGAGGGCCACCAATTATATGGACCAGCAAGGTAACTCAGCAGGTAAAGGCACTCACTGTCATGCTACTGGCCCTTGAGTTTATATGAACCCTGACTTGGCTCTGACCTCCCTATCCTCACTCAGAGGTTAGGACATATCCCCAAGACACCAGACACCAACTAGGGACAGCTGTAGCTTCCCAGGCTCCTAGAGATCCATTAAGCCCTTGCCCAGCTCCTATGTCTGGGACTCCAGGGCTCCAGGCTGTTGCTCAGTCCGCTCCACCCTGGGACCCCATGAGTCCAACCACACCAGTGTCTGGAGGGACTAGTCCTGTCTGGGTGGAGTCTTGGGAAAATGGATGTTGTCTTAGCTAGGATTTCTACTGCTGTGAAGAGGCACCATAACCACAACTCTTACAAAAGGAAAGTATTTAATTGGGGCTGGCTTAGAGGTTCAGAGTTTAGTCCACTATCGTCATGGTGGGAAACATGGCATGAAGGCAGACATGGTGCTGGAGAAGGAACTGAGAGTTCTACATCTTGATCTGGAGGCAGCAGGAACCTGCCCCGCTAGGCTGAGCTTGAGTATAAGAGACCCCCCAAAGCCCACCTCCACAGTGACACACCTCCTCCAACAAGGCCACACCTCTTAACAATGCCATTCCCTATGGGCTAAGCATTCATACACATGAGTCTTTTGGGGAGCATTCCTATTCAAACCACCACAGATGGCCTCAGACAAGAGACCAGGTCAGAAAGAAAAGGAAGCAAGAGCTGTTGGTATGGAACCAGGGCTTGAGGGCTGCAGTGCTGTGTGTTGCAGCCTTGGCTAAACCAGCAGATGGTACCAGCCAAGTTGCCTCCCTCAACAGTGCTCTGTCCTGTGCTGGGGACTGGAGCCACCTGTCTGGAGCCCAGGTTTGCAGCCAGGAGATCACGCTCTGCATACCCTACCATGAGAGCTGGACCAGAACAGGTCCTGTCTCTGCTCCTGCCAGCTGCCCAGTGGCACCCTACTGAAGCCACTGTTCCCCCCTCTCTCCCACCTTGAACATAGCAAAGGTATCCTTGGCCACCTTAATGGTCCTCTTACCCCAATTTCTCAACCCTCTACTTCCAACTTCATATCATGGCACACCAGCACTGACTTCTATATTTTTGAGACTAGGACTAACTGTGTGGACCAGGCTGGCTTCCAACTCAGACATCCACCTGTCTATTGTCTCCCACATGCTAGATTAAAGGCATACACACTTGACTCCTTACACGTCCTGGCCAGCGTCAGCCTGCTCACCTCCCTGTTGGACAGCCCAGCATCTATCAAAGGACCAAGCCTTCTCTCCCTGCGTGACACTGTCACTGTCCCTTGCTTACTGCCTTTCCCACTGCAGTGTCAGGAGTCGAGCAAAAGCAGACAAACGAGTAGACCCTCCGTGGGGCCCGGCCTCCATCTCGCAGGCCCCACAGCACTCAGACATTGTGGGCGATGCCTGTTCTGCACCAGGCAACTGGCAGGTTCTTACTAGAACACCTGGCCCTCACAATCCCACCTTCCTGAGAGGAAAACACTGAAATAGATAAATATTTATCTGCCCTGCATGGACCTCTCCAGTCCCTATCTCTCCTGGACCCCACCTTGCAGAGTTCTCTCCTGTCCTAGCCCAGGAATTCAGGGCAAGTCTTCTTGGACCTTTGACTCCCTCATCTAAAATGTTAAGGTAGATCTGGAGAGATGGCTCAGTGGCTAAGAGCACTGGTTGCTCTTCAGAGAACCCGGGATCAATCCCCAGCACCCACACGATGGCTCACAACTGTAACTCCAGATCCAACATCTTCTTTTGGCCTCCATGGGCATCAGGTACGCATATGATACAGACATACTTTCATACAAAACACCCATTTACATAAAATTAAAATGCAGAAAAGTCTTTTGTCTGAATTCGCCTGGTCTTATCTAAAATTTAAGTATTAGTTGGGACAATACAGGGGGCAATGACAGATGAAGATCGCATTCAGCCTGATGTTCAGCGACAGCTGGCACTCAGAAGGGGCCCCATGTCCAGTTTTTGTTTTCTCAGATGAGTACTCCAAGAGCAGTGGTTTCATCTCACCACTAGAGGACAGTGCAATCCACTCCCGTGGTTGTGTGAGGCTGAAGCCTAGGTTAGCAGGGCTTTCCAGTAACAACCTCCTCCCCAACCCCATGGAACAGGTCTGGGGTGGTCACTTCTGTCTCCGTCTATAGAGCAGAAAACCAGCATCCTACTAGATGGCAGAGCTGCAGGAAGTATCACCACTTGGCGGCAGGATTTGGACATCTCTGGATCCCAAGCCAAACACCAGCTTGTCAGGGAGCTCCTTGCTGAAGAAGGACTTCCCTGGCGGAGTGTGATTTCTACAAAGAAGTCGTCTGTGTTGGCTTGGCACTGTGATGGGGCAGGCCTGTGATCCCAGCACTTGAGAGGTACAGGTAAGCTGTTGTCCTGGCTGCATAGTAAGTTTGAGGCCAACTTGGGCTAAGTGAGACCTTGTCTCACAAAAGTTAGACACATACACACTGGACCTGAAAAATTCCCAGTAGGCACCAGGCCAGCTGGGACAACATGGGCATTAGACACAGAACATTCACAGGCCACACTCTGCTGTTTAATGACTAAACCTGAACAGGTCTCAGGAGGACTCTGGAGGGACATGGCATGCACACACACACAAGTGAGACTTTCCACAGGGGTAGACATTTGGCATCTTCGAACCTCACGGATACTGAAGAAGCCCAAAGTTCTCTTTTAGAGGTTGGTCAAAGCCCACCCTTTAGTCTTTGGAGGAGTCAAGTTCATGCACAAGCAGGCTGTGAGCATTCTCACAATCCTGTGCTACCTAAGGCACTCAAACGACAGGGAGGTATCAGCAGGGGACAAGAAGCTCTGACCTGCCCGCCTCTGAAAAAATAGCAAGCACCCTACCTCTACAGGGAGCTGGCCACTGCTGGGCCTCTTGTGAGGACATCCTGAGGTGAGGTGTCTCTCCTCGGGCTGGGCCAGAATTGTAGGGAGGTCTGAGAAGCCTTCATTTTTAGCCCTGTATGGCATGAGGGCTCTGTTAGAGAATCCTCTGTCCTTTCTGTTTTGTGGGTAAGAGGAGTGTAATGCTTAAGGCGTTTTGTGAGGTGAAGGATGTTCTGTCGATTTTGACAGCTCATCTGTAAGTGGTTCTAATCGGACACTTTACCCAGGATCCCGAAAGGCTGAGAAACACACACATGCACATTGGCCCAGAGATCCACACACCTAGGTTAGCCAGGAACCCAGGACCTGAGCCCATCCCTATTCTAAAAGGGACACCGAGTCCTCAGGTCCAGCCTTCATGGCTCCGTCTCCACTGTGGTATCTGAGGAGGCTTCAGCTGCTGCTCACAGATGGTGGGCCACTTCCCAGAGGATCTGCAGGGCCATGGAGAAACAGGCGAACTGGGCCAGGACGTAGGCCCCAGAGCGAATGCGTGGGTTTAGCTTGCCCAGGTAGGCCACAGTGTGTACCACACGGGCTGTGAGGACAACAAGGAAATGTATCCAGGCGATCAGAGGGTTGGGTCCCAGAAATGAGTAGACAAAGCCGAGGAACAGGAAGGGGTAGATTGTCTCCATGTCATTGCGGTGGGCCCTAGGGAGCAGAAGGTTACAGTTAGCAGGCCTAGTACTGGGGCTCCCAACACACCAGGAACCTCCTGGGATGGCCAGACACCCCAGTCCCTTCCTGACCAATAAGCCAGATGCTGTAGAGCCAAGGGGGACAGTGAGTCCGGGCTTCTGCCCAGAAGTGGCTTCGTCTCAAAGCCCTGGCTTGGCCAGGGAGGCTGCTGCTGGATTGGGGCTTGCCCAGCTTTTCCCACACCCCCACAGTCCCTTCTGTCCCTTAGACAACAGGTAGCAAAAAGGACGATTCAGAGGCTTGGAGTCAGAGGCGAGTGACAGGCACTCTCTGAGGCAGGGCCTGACACAGGCCTGAGACCCACCTGTCCTTTGAGGGAAGGTTTTGGGTGGTGTCTCCTGATGGTCTCTGTCTCTTTCCACCCCTAAAGCTGACCAAGCAACATCTTTGCAGAGAAAACCATAAGATTCTTCCATTTATGTGCCCAGCCACGCACAGGACTCTGGGCAAGCCCTCCTTTATGCATGCTATCTGGCTCTTTTGTGAACATTCACAGCAGGAGGCCTATGTTCAACCCTACCATAAATAACAGCCAGGGAGAAAACTACACCAGCTGCCACTCAGTTCCCAGGATTCCCTTTAGACTGTCACCTCTCTCTAGGACAAAACAGGCAGTCAAACCACCCTCATCTGGAGAAGTAAATACCCGGAGCTGTCGATGACCACTTAGATAAACATGAACCCAGTGGCCTAGCCATGACCTTTCCCAGGATGGGCCCCAGTTCAGTATGGGGACGCTAGGACTTCCAGCTGCAGTACATCCAACCAGCTGCACGGGCCAACGGCCGGGCCAGCCTGGCCTCGGCGCCCTTGTAGTGATTCACTTCAGCAGCCTCGTCTTGTTTCCCGTTGGTAAAGTGAACCTTAGTAAGGGGCCACCAGCTTTTTACTGGGTGAAAGAAAGTATGCAGGGGCAAGAAGAGGCCTGGAGCACCCAGCGCCCCAGTACTGCAGGGGGACTGGGGCAGTAGTCAGGGGTGGAGATTTGTTACAGACTAAATGATGCGCCCATCTGTAATCCCAGTTCACAAGAAATGAGACCAGAGGCTCCCTTAGATTCACAGGCTGGCCGGCCTAGCCTAGCTCCAAGTTATAAAGTCCTGTCTCGGAAAACAGTGGGATAGTATGTGAGGAAAAGCAGCCCAGGCGAATCCCTGGCCTCACAGCCATGTGCCAGCATGCCTCTGTAGGAGGAGCTAAGGTGGGAGGAGTTAGGAGAGGAAGAGGAAGGGGAGGAGCTAGGAGAGGAGGAGAGAGAGTGAGAGAGAGGAGATGGAGGCGGATGCTCACGTGTCTGTAGCAGTCAAAGGCAGTTGGTACATCTAGGTTTGGTACTGGGTTACACTTCTGATTGTATGGGCATCTTGTTACTGATCATTACCAAATATATAAGCCTTTGATTAATCTTTAAGCATTAGAGTCTCATCTTTCTACTGGGCCTGCGTGGATGGCGGGATGGTCTGGGCAATGCCCAGCCTTGCGGAGACAGTGTGGAAGATTGGCAGAGCCATCTCCCACGCTGGCGTCTCATGGGTGGCAGGACTGGTGATTCTGGCTGGCCGGTTCTAGCTGCTGCACGCACGTGGCCTCTGGCCATGGAACATGGCGGCTGAGCTAGGGCGAGCAGCTGCAGGTTAGATAGTCCACATGACCAGTGGTCACCTATTAAATAATTATTACAACATGTCTCCACCAAGAGGAGTTAAAAGAGAGAGTCGGGAGCCAGGTGTGCTGGCTTACACCTGTATTCTAAGCACTCAGAAGGTTGAGAGGCAGGAGGATTACTGTGAACCAGGAGTTCAAAGTCTGCCTTGACTATACAGCAGCTTTGCGGTTAGCTAGCCTGGGCTGCATGAGGCCCTGTCTCAAAATAAAAACAGAACTGGAGACAGCTGGCCGATTGGGAGGACTGGGTGCTCTTGCAGACAACCCCAGCTCCTTCCAAGCCCCCACATGACAGTTCCAAGGGGTCTGATGCCCCATTCTGGCCTGAGCGGACTGCACGGTGCACTCGCTTATGTGCAGGCAAAACACCCATACACATAAAGATTTTTTTTAAAGACTAAGAATATGGCCTAGCTGGTATAACACTTGTCAAGCAAATTAAAAGATCCTGGGTTCAGTCCCCAGCAGCATATAAATCAGGGATGGTGGCATATGCCTGTAACCCTAGCATTGGAGAGGTAAAGGCACAGGGATCAGAAGTTCAAGATTATCTTTAGCTACATAGAGTCAGAGGCCAGCCCGGGCTACCTGAGACTCTATGTCAAAAACAAAACCAGATCAGACTGAGAACACACATGAGCAAACCTGTAGACGGGGTGGGGAAGTTTGGGGCACAGGTAGGAGGAGGGCGTTCCTCTTCTGTATGACAGGGCCCCGGTTGGGGATGAGGGCCTTGCAGAGAAAACACACTTCCCTGATTCCTCTCCAGGCAGCAAAGGGGTGACCATGGGGGAGAGGTGACTGGGAGCAAACAGAGCTCTGACCCAGCACCTCCCTCCCTCTCTGTCTGAAACCACAATGGAGCCCCACAAAGCCACAGTGGTGGAGGGAGCAGGGAGGAATGGGAAACCAGGATTTTGAAAAAACAAAAAAGTTCACCTGTCCTCCCCTGCCGTGGGATCCACACAGTGGCATGGAGGGAGTCACGTACGGGGAAGTGGAGCGGTGTGTCACTCCAGTGTGTCATGCCAATAATAACCACTACTCGGAGGGAGGCAAAAGTTGCCCAAAGCCAGTTTCCACCAGACGAGACTTGCGCAGCCCCCTGTGGCATCACGCCTGCCCCTTACCCTCAGTGTGAGCGTTGGAACAGGGCTGTTTTACAGTGACAGCGGTGGGGAGAGACCACCGGTGACCCCAGGCCAGGGCGATGGCAGCAGCTGACTCCACTGCTCAACAACTGTTTCTGCCAGCTCGCCCCAGACACCGCACGCATAAGTACGTGAGCGAGCTCAGGGTTCAAGGAGGACGGGTGCCAAAGGGGGAGGTGCAGGAAGGGACTTGCGAAGGGGTGGGGCTGAGGCAATGGTGTGCGAGGCTTAGGCCTCCTGCAAGATGAGGTGGGGGTGGAGGGGGTCAGAGGGTGTGGGGTGCTGTGTTACAGCCTTGGGGTCAGACCTCGACAAACCACTTCTATCTCTACAGATAACACCAATCTCCTCAGTGTTGAGACGCTGTGTGCTGGTCCCCAGAGAAAAGGGAAAAGTGGAATGCCAGGCGCTGTCACCACCCCTCCCGACATGGCCGCTTCCAAATCTCCAGCCCTCGTCTAGACATTGCTGTGCTTGTCCCCCATTCTCCTCCATCTGATAACCTGCCACAGGCCCTCACAACCCTAGTGAGAAATGGGGGTTCCACCAGGGGCCACAAGCTCTGACTGCCACCAAGGAGCTCTGAGGCCACAGGCAGGTGTCCCTCCTGCTCTGAGCCTGTGTCCCCTGCTGATGAACGGACAGCACACTGTCCTTTGAGGAGCAGAAGGGGCCCAATTTCCTGGCGAACTGCTTTCCTCAGACTAAAAGCTCCAACAGTCAGAAACAGGAGGAGGCTTGGGTCAGGTGTTCCCCTTGGGGAAACAGCCTATTAGCATTCCCACACAGCTGCTGGCAAAAAATATCCCCATCTGGAAACGCAGACAAGTTGTCCTGGGAGGAAAAGGTGGCAGGTACCTGTCCAGAAAGGCTGGGGCTTGTTCTGACTGGGGGAGCGAGGAAGGAAAGAACAGATCTGCTTACAGAAAAGCTGGGGTTGGTGGGCCACACTCTCCACCCGGAGCTTATCCTATACAGAGCCGAGGGGTCAGGTGTCTGTAGGAGACAGATCTCCAACTGTAAGCAGGCCAGACTGCAGCTTCTAGTTCTTACACAACCTGCCACTGTTTGCACTGGGACCAGGGGGAGGCTTTGTTGCCCAAGCCTTACCTAGGGAAGGCTTTGCTACCCCCGTGGACCTGAGGCTTCAGTCTTTGGCATGGCTATTCCCATGTCAACAATACACACTCAGGAGTTCACTGCACCATACACATTCACACAAGGCCTCCTGTGGTCCGTGTGATCACGCCTCTGCTGTTACACTGCGCAGATACGGCTGGCTTTGAACTCCTGTCACCGATGACATCCCCTCCCCTCAGGCCAGAATTCCAGGTGCAGTGTGTGAGGACCACTACGGGTGGCCTCCCTTTCATTCTTCCTTTTAATCTTAAAACCTTTTTAGAACTAAAAGCTTGCACCTTTAATTCTAGCACTTAGGAGGCAAAGGCAGGCAGATCTCTGTGAACTGGAGCACAGCCAGGCTACACAGAAAACCCCCGTCTCAAAAAACAACAACAAAATTAAGTTATTCTATTTTATTATGTGTTGAGTATTCTGCCTGCATGTATGTATATTCTGCCAGCATGTATGTACGTGTAGCACATGTGTACCTAGTGCCTGAGGAGATCAGAAAAGGGCACCATGTAGGGTTTGGGAATCGAACCGGAGTCCTCCGCAAGAGCAACAAGTGCCCCACCGCACCCTCTGTCCTGTCACTCAGGTTCCATTCTTTAAACATGGTCCCCGATTGCCCCCAGAGCCAGGCTGGCTTGTCTTCAGCATGTGCTAATCTGCAAAGCAGATTTATAATCCAAGATCCAGCCTTCACGCTTCCTGTGTTCACAGCAGAGTGGGCCAAGGGCCCCTGCCCTGGCTTTAATATCTAACTGTCTGTGCCCACCCCACCTCCTCTCCAGACAGTGCCTAGTGGTGGGCAGCAGGCATGATTCTCAGTTCTGCACCTTTGGCTAACACACTTTCTTCTTAGAGACAGGGCCTCACTGCACAGTTCTGGTTGGCTTGGAACTCACTGTGTAGATCAGGCTGGACCCAAATTCACAGAGATTCTCCTGCCTCTGCTTCCCAAGTAGTGGGATTAAAAAGACTCCTACCACTGTCTTCCTTCCTTCCTCCCTTCCTTCCTTACAGAAGAATATAGTGTCTCACGTAGTGCAGGCTAGCCTCCAACTTTATTTTATACACACACTCTACTAACCCACATCTTTCTGTGATGTTCTGTGGAGTCAGTGGGGTTCATGAGCTACCCAGACCCCCAGCTCAAGTACCTCAAGTCCTCAAAGAAGCTTCCCTGAGTGGATCTCTACAGCATCTTTAGGTGGGAGCGTTCAGAAAATGCTAGACTAATGCCAACCACTCAAGCTGCAGTTCTAGAGAGGATATGAAATAAACTCCTGGCTAGAGAGATGGCTCAGGGATTTAGAGCTCTTATCTCTCTTGAGAGGACACTGGGATCAGTTCCCAGCACCCATATGGAGGCTTACAGCCATCTGTAACCCCAGCTCCAAGGGGTCCAATATGCCATATGTGGTGCACAGATCTACGTTCAGGGAAAACATTCATACACATAAAGTAAAATAAATATAAAGCAAATTATAAAAAGAAGTCAGATCCTACTGGGTAGAGAGGGAAATGCTGGAATGCTGGAGTTCCTTATCGGTCTTTTGTCTTCCCTGAACATGGTTATACCCTTAGGAGACAAAACACATACACACACACACACACACACACACACACACACACGCACACACATCTCACACATCCTTTGTTGAGTGGCTGGGATCGCTGCCTAGATCACTCACTTTCCCTCTCTCTGTGACTCTGAATTGCCCAGACAACTAACAGTCACCAATATAGGGTCATAGTTGGGCAAGGCCAGGCAATTTATTCAGGAAACTATCCAGTGCCTGCTACCAGTGCCTGTCACACAGTAGGTGCTCATTAAACAAGGAATAGCCGTTGCCAGACTGAACACATATGGATTAGCCAGTATTTCTGTTGGAAAGGGTGAGTGTGCAGCCTGGAGTCTCACTTCCTATGACACGTTGCTGTCATTTTTTTTAAACCACAAGTGTGTACATTACTGTCAATGGCTAAGAAAACATGAGGAAAGCCTCCTGGACTTTGTTTTCAGAGAGAAACTCTGTTATGGAAGCAACAGCATCCCTCCCATGTCTGCCTGAGGCAGGGGATGTGCTGAGAGCTGTGTGCTGCTGGCCTGTTTCACATCTCACCCAATCCAGCTGCCCATCTTCCTTGCTGCCATCACCCCAGTACCCTCTCTTCACTATGGATTACCGATAAGATAGCAAAGAAATGTCCCCAAACTCCAGTACTAAGCCAGCTGTTAAAAATCGACTTTTAATCTCTAGGGAAGTTTACACAGCCAAGATTTTTTTTGTTTTGCTTTGCTTTATGAGGCTGCGCTTTAACCTCTAGTCTATACCAGCCTGGAACTCAAGGCAATTCTCCTGCCTCAGCCTCTAAAACATTTTCATCATGAGTGTAAGCCACAATATCTAGCCTTAAGATTCACTTTAAAAGTGGTTTTTACATCTGGACAGTGGTGAAGCTCTCAGCACTTGGGAGGCAGAGGCAGGCAGATCTTTGAGTTTGAGGCCAGCCTGGTCTACATGAGTTCTAGGACAGCCAGGGCTATGCAGAGAAACCCTGTCTTGAAAAATCAAGCTGGGCGGTGGTGGCGCACGCCTTTAATCCCAGCACTTGGGAGGCAGAGGCAGGCGGATTTCTGAGTTCGAGGCCAGCCTGGTCTACAGAGTGAGTTCCAGGACAGCCAGGGCTATACAGAGAAACCCTGTCTCGAAAAACCAAAAAAAAAAAAAAAAATAATAATAATAGTAATAATAATAACATTTAGAAATAGACAGAGAAAGATGTGTTCTCTGTTTGTAGCAGAGGCTGGTTTTAATTCCTGACCCTCCTGCTAGAACCTCCCAAATGCTGGGATCACAGGTGTAAGCCATTGTATCTCACTTGTGTTTCTTTTTCAGTTTATTTGCTTGGTCTCACTCTGCAGGGGGCTGGAGAGATAGCTCAGTGGTTAAGAGCACTGACTGCTCTTCCAGATGGTCCTGAGTTCAATTCCCAGAAACCACATGGTGGCTCACAACCATCTGTAATGAGATCTGATGCCCTCTTCTGGTGTGTCTGAAGACAGCTACACTGTACTCATGTACATAAAGTAAGTAAATAATTCTTAAAAAAAAATGGTCTCGCTCTAGTTTGTCTGTGGTTGAGAGTCCTGCTTCCACCTCCCAGGTTTGGGATTTTAGATGCGGACCATCAGCTTTGAACTAACTTTGTAATTCCAGATCATGAGAATTTGCTTTTCTAAGACAAACGTAATGAATGAGTAAACTATAATAGTCTGAGAGGAGAAAGCAGGCCTACAGACACCCTTAGGCACACAGGGGACTGACTCTCAAGTCCCCAGTTCAGACACTCTGCAAGGACAGGTGCCAGCTGGGTCTGTGGCCAAGTGACAGACAGGTACTCACCTGAGGCAGCGCTCCACATCTGGGTCACTCCTGAAATACTGGAGGCCTCCACGTTTCAGGGCATCCTCGGGATTAGCAAAAGCCTGAAACAGAGTAGCTAAGGATTAGCAACCAGAGGAGGTTCCCATCTGAGGACAGGGCTCAGGGGCTGGGCTGGGTACAGCCACCTGCAGGACCTATGAACCATTCATCCCACTCCCCTGAGCCTCTTCTCTGTGCCACAGAACTGAAGCTCACGGTGAGGAAGCTCCGGTGAGAGCGCCCTCCTGCCCATCTCTTGGGCTCAGAGGTTAAGAGAGCCCCTTGGACGGGAACTCGGTGTGACTAATCTAGAATATATTCATGAGGGGCACAAGGTCCTGTTTGCCTAGCATGAGTGAGTCCCTCCCTAGAGAGTTTCATTCCCAGAACCTCAAAAGGTAAATTAAAATAAGAAAAATAGTGGAGCATAGTGGCTCACACCTTTAATCCCAGCCCTCTAGAGGCAGAGGTAGGCGGATCTGTGAGTTCGAGGGCAGCCTGGTCTACATACTAAGACCCTGTCTCAAAAGATTAAAACAAACAGCTAAGTAGAAGCCATTAGGGGCACTCAAGAGGCTGGGCAGAAGCTAGGCCCCTCACTGACCACCAGGCTCTGAAGCTCCCTGTTTCCGGGCAGCCTCGTCTACAGACTCAGGATGAAATGGATCACCTGGGGTTCAGTGGGAAAGCAGGGGAAGCTTAAGGAGGGTGCTAGTCTCTCTTGATGGAAAAGAGAGGTCTTACTTCTGTCTTTGAGGACCTCTGCTCACCACTGAGTTGTGGCTACTCGCCAAAGCTCTCCCATCAACCCTGGTGACACCTGAATCAATCTGTCTAAGCTGTGAGGTGAGCAAGGCCCATGGATCTTCACTTTGGGCTGTCTCTGGAGCCCCAACTGGTAGATGGGACTGCTCCTGCCCTGCCTGAGAAAAATGTAAAATGACAAAGAAAGGCCAGGCTCTCCCACCCAGAATTCCTCCCTCCTGGCTCCGAAGCCCCCAGCTCTGAGGGCCCAGCTTTACCACCAATGGAGCTCCTGTAATCGGATATCAGAAAGCCACCTCTAGTGGGTCAAGGGCCACTCAGCACGCACTTCCAGGAAGGACCTGCGGCTGCTGCAGCTCACGGCAGACTCCAGTAGGAACCAGTCTTAAAGACCAGAGTGGGTGGTGTGTTCACCGTTTATGTCTCCAGGTTTGCTGAGAGGACACTGGGCTTTCTCTCAGTTGTCTACCTCTCCAGGCTGCTGGGAAGAGGACACTGAGCCGGCTCTCATCTTCTCTATGGACAGTAATCCCCTGGTCCCTCTAGGCAGAAACAGAGGAGGCCCAGGGCCCAAAGCGGAGGAGGCTTCCCTCCACCCCTGCATCTCCCATCATGGGGAGAGGAGCCCAGGAGGAAGGCAGGCTCTGGAGCCAGCTAGTTAACTTCAAAGGAGATGGAAGGAGCCCACAGTAGGCAGGCATCTCCTCGGCTCAAGCTTCTCACTGGTCACCAAGGTAAAGTAACGCCGCTGACTTCCCTGGTGGTGACTTAGTGCTCAGCTTTGGGAGCCACACAGAGAGGACAAGAACAGAATGTAGCTATCTCTCCCTAGCATCTGTGTCCCAGGACAAACCAAAGCAGAAGAACCAGAGACAGTCAGGAAGTGGTGGCCCTGCCTTTATTCCTGTCAGTACCTGCCCCAGGGGCTGAACCTGGCTGGAGGGCAAGAAGCCCACCCGGATCCCACCCCATCCCGCCCCGTACTCCAAGCTCCCTTGCCTTTGGTGTGGGCAAATGTTGGTTTAGGGGTTGTAAAAGCAGATGCTTCCCGTGCTTCTGCTTTCTAGCAGCTTCCAATGGACCCCTGGAAGGGGTCCGGAGTCCTGGCCACTCCCACCAGCTCAGTGTACGTTCTTTTACTTCGGTTTCTTTGCCGGGACTGAGACCAGAGAATGTCGTCTGTGGTCCCTCAAGGCTAAAGGGTGCCACAAGTGTATGCAGCGTCCATGGGGAGTGGGAATTTCCACAGAAAGACTTCTTAGGCTCCTGCTTTGCCGGTTCCCACTCCACCCAGATATGAAATCTCCCTGCCTGCCGGGAAACTTCCAGGTCCGGAGATCTCTCACTGTCAGAGTCCCCATGCTCCACTCGCGAGGGAACCACCGAGTGCTCTCATACCAAGAGGGTTCAGGAGCTGAAGGCCAAGCCAGCTTCCAGAAGGGCTGCGGTGACGGCAGCCTTGAATTAGCTCCCACCGCACGCTGGCATACACATCTCGGCCACATTTTTCAGTCCCCAGACTTTCTTGCAGGGAAAAGCCAGCAGAGTGCAGATCCCCTTCTCCTCCCACGCCCCCCACTCCACTAGCGAACATACCTTCTTCCGCAGCCTGGTGTGGCCTGTGATGACAGCCACCGCGTACATCTTGATGACCAGCAGTGTGCTGCAGAGCAGAAAGGCCGGGAGCACCTGGCCGTTCTCCATCACCAGGTCCAGAGAAGGCATCTTGGCTAGCCGGCCTGGGCTCCAACTCCGGGACACGGGGACTGAGAGTGAGATTGTCCCACAAGGCGGTTTAAGGAGAGGAGGAGTCGGGCCAAACCCTGAGTAGGCGGTCCCCCCGCCCACTCCCCGCCCACTCTGATCACCCGCAGCAGGCCCCCTGCTCAAGTCAAGAAGGAAACCAGAGACTTCTGCTCCATGTGCCGGGGAAGCGGAGGAATGGAGGTGTCCCACGCCATCCTCGGCTCAGGACCATTGTTCTTCCCCAAAACCTCGACTGCCTGTCGGTTTTCTCACTTAAGTCAGGTCGCTGACCCCAGTCTGCATATCACTGACCCATGCCCACCTTCCGGAAAGAGCAGGGCAGGTAGAGGGCGTGAGAACCAGGCCATTTATACTAATGTATTGCCTCTGTGATGCTGGACACCGCAACCATGGAGGCTTGTTGTCTCTGCAAGTTGGAAGATGAGGAGACAGATTCTTGCCATCCTCTAGTGGGACACAGAGCAGAATTACCAATTCGTGTGTGTGTGTGTGTGTGTTATTCATTTGGGTGTGTACATTTGCATATGGGTGGGGATATTCACATGTGCGCACCTTTGTGTGGAAGCCAATAGCTGCTGTCCCATGACTTTCTCAATTGCCTGACTTATCTTATCTTTTTAATTTCTTTTAAAATTACATTTATTTATTTATTGTGTGCCACAGCACCTGTATGAAAGTCAGAGGATAATTTGCTAGAGTTGGTTTTGTTCGGCCATATGAGTCACAGGAATAGAATTCAGATCTCAGTGGCCCAAGCACCTTACTTTTTTTTTTTTTTCATTTTTGAGAGAGTACATGACAGAAAGAGCAAGAACAAGAGAGTGAGAGAGTGAGCAAGAGAGAGAGAGAGAAACAGAGGGGGAGGGAGGGAGGGAGGAAAGGAGAGAGAGAGAGAGAGAGAGAGAGAGAGAGAGAGAGAGAGAGAGAGAGAACCTCACTATTTCCCAGACCCCATGGCCTGGAACTCACAGAGATCTACCTGCCTCTGCCCCCAAACTGCTGGGATTGAGGGTATGCACGCCATAGCCTGCCCCCGTTACATTTCGAGGTCTAATCTTTCACTGATCCTGGAGCTCATCACCCTCCTAGCTTGACAGGCTGGTGAGCTTCAAGCATCCACCTGCCTCTGCTGTCAGCAAATTACAAATACACATCTTCATGTCTAGATTTTTAAGTGGGTTCTGGGAATCAGAACTCAGGTCTTTATGCGTTATCAATTGAGCCATTTTCTTTTTCCTTTCCCCCTCTCCCCTTCTTCACTTTTCTTTCCTGACAATATCTAAAAAGCTGGGCTCAAACTCACTACTAAGTGAAGCGTAACCAGCCTTCCCGTCTCCTCCTCTGCAGCACTGGCTTGCGTGCCACCAGGCTCTGCTCTCCAATCCCAGCTTCTAAGCTCTAGGGTTTTGTTTCATGTCACTAACTCTGTATGAAGTCACTTCAGCAGCAGTGGGAAGGGGGTGTATTTGTTCCAGTGTCTTCTTTGGAGTCCACCTCCTTTTCTGGGAGACCCTTCCCAGCAAGGAGCCTGATTTACAGAGACCCTCAGTCCCCTTGCCTGCCGCAGCTCACCCTTGGCTCCTGTTCTTTTCACTGGCTCTTAAGAGCATGGTCTGGGGAAAGACAACCTTCCCTGCTCCCTCAGTTCCTCAGTCAACTAGATCGTAAAGGACAGTGATCTAGCCAAAGGAACATTAGCACCAGCCTAGCCATGCCTTAAAGCAACGGAAATCTAGGGGCAACCAGCCTGAACTCCACTCAACTGGTAAACTTAGCCAGTCCTTAGAACACCGATATGGCTGGAAATGTGTTTTCCCCTCTGACCCAGTTTCCCTAGCTGGAAACTGAAGCTCACTGTCTTGTCACCCCCTCCTTCACCCCCATAGCAGTTGCTGGAACTAAAAGAACCTTGACTGGAGATTGTGTCTTATAGACAGTGATCCCAGCACTCAAAGTGTGGAGACCAGACCAGGAGTTCAAGGCCATCCTTGACTACATAGTGAATTTGAGGCTAGCCTGGGATATATTAAACCCTGTCTCAAAAGTAAGGGCTGATGAGTTGGTTCAGTAGAAAAAGGTATGCACCACCATCCCAGATATACATGGTGGAAGGACAGAATTGACCCATGCAGGCTGTCCTCTGACAGCAAGTGTGCCACGAATAGTAAAATACATGTAAAAAGGATTAAGTCAGAAAAATATTCATGTCTGCAAATGCAGTTACAGAGCACCCGCTATGCAGTATCTCCTCCTTGCTAAGGACACCGGAGCCTCCCTTTCTCCCTCCTCAGAAGAGGCCTAATGGTCCCACCTATCTGGATGGACTGGAGGGAGTTTCTGCTGCTGGGGGCTGTGGGTGGCTTCTTGCTAACTTACAATCTGAACTAAAGATATGCTTGACAAGATGTTTGTGTTCTCAAAGCACAGGGTCGACACACAAGGCTTAGCAGTCCGAGATAAGAGATAAATACCTCCGGGGGACTGGCCGTGGAAAGGTCTGGTTGTTCTAAAGCAGTTTTTATTTGTGGCTACAGGATGGGGAACTGGGCAAGAGGCCAGCTTTCTGCTCTCCTCGACAGGGATCTACTTCAGGTAGCTCTCGTGTCAAAAAGCTCAGTGATGAGCTGTCTCCTCTGACCTCCATACTTATGCCATGGTCCTTAGACCACACACACACACACACACACACACACACACACACACACACGCACACTCACTCAAACATCCAGATGACACTCCAGAGGGAGAGGCAGGAGGATCAGATGTTCAAGGTCAACCTTGGCTACACACTGAGTTTTAGGCCACCCTGGACGACACAAGGCTCAGTGGTAAGAGTACTTGCTAAGTATCCTGAGAACCAAAGTTCAAATCCTCGCCTCCCATGTAACAGCCGGTAAGTAACCCCAGTATGTGCAGCACAGAGGCCTGAGGAGCATGGGTCTTACCAGTCTAGCTCCAGGTCTGGTGAAAGACTCCATCTCAAGGGAGTAAAGTAGAAAGCAAGTGCGATAAAACAGGACATCTGATGTCCTTCGGCCTCTACTCATGCAGAAACAGACATGTGCACATGTTACACACTTACACTATACACATTTTCACATACACATTCACCAAAAACCAATAATGCCCTCAGTCAAAAGCCAGGGCTGTGGCTCAGCAGCAGAGTTGCCCGGTATTTCGGAGGCTCTGGTCCATTCCCAAGCACCAGAAGACTATCACTACATACCATCTCAGCTGTGAGGTTGTCAGTTGTAGGGTCCAGAGACGAATTCCCTTATCTCCACATCAGAACTGACCATCTCATGACAATAGATTAAAATCCTCTGAGAATATACTGAACTACCTTCTACCTAGCCAAAAGCTGTGGTGCCATCGGAGAACATCTTAGGCCTATAGAATAGCTCCTGGCATCTCCTGTACCCACCTCTGATGTGCCCGCCAGCACATTTCATTTTAAACTCGCCTTTTAACTCGTGACTGTCTCTCTTCTGTAAAGCATGCACATGTTGCAAACCATACGAACTCCATGAAACTACTTCTACTTTAGAACATGGGGTAACCTGAGTCTGTGTTCACAGGGTCATGGTCACTCAAAGTGTCTCCAGAACTTATTCTGAGCTGAAAAAAAAGGTCCCCCTTTGATAGATACCTTTCTGATCTGCTTTCAATGAGCGTGATTTGGTGTGGGTGTCTAATTTGTTTAGAAACTTTGAAAGCACTTTGGTCTGGATTATTTGGCCTGCTGCTGGGCTTTGGAGCTCTAAAGTCAGGTTAAATTTTGGCTGGTTAACTTATTTTTAGTATTTGCTCTCGGAACCTCGAAGGCATTTTTTGTTTTTGTTTTATTTGTCTTGGTTTTCGTTGTCTTTGAAATATTTTCATTATCATTTGGCCTTTGTCTCCTGACATTCCTCCTCAGATGCACGGATTCTTTTTTTTTTCCAGCTTCTCCTGTGACCTTGCCAAGCCTTTAGCTTAGGAATTTTATGAGTGACTGGTGACAGAGACACCAAAACAAGAGGCACCTTGTTCCCTCCCCGCCAAATGTGTGGAGGTGTCAGGAGGAACATCCCAGGACCTGTTGGCCTTGGGGAAGCCAGACCAACACGACCCATTCCTGGGTCAGAAGGGTCTGTACCGGTTCGCACTGGAAAACATATCTGAGGATGGGTTACCCAGTGTCTGGGTCATGCAGGACACCCTGAAGACCCACTGGGAGATGATGTTTCATGCTGAGAAAGTCAATCTCAAAAATAGCACTTAAAACTGACCCAAAGTACATTCTGTAGCTAGAATAGATAGGCAACTTTTCAGGAGAAAAGAAAAACATGTGCAGAGAACAAGGTTTCAAAGAAGGACTTGGTGTTTCAAAAGCTACTGACCAGGCACTCTAGCTATCTCAGACATGATTGTTACTAACTTGAGAGCGTTTGGAAAGATGCAAAGCTCTAAAGATAACTACCTCAAACTGGTTTATCTTACCCGATTAACGAAGTCCTATGAAATCAATTTGTTTTTTTTTTAAGCAAGCAAGCAAACAAACAAACATCGCAGACAGCTTGCTTTAATTAAAACGTAAAATGTCTGTTAATGTAAAACTACAAGCTGATAACATTGGCAATGCATAATAAAAAGAGCTCTTCATCAGAAAGGTTCAGACAGCTTCTGGGAATGCCTCAACCCCCGACAGATAACTAACTCATCCTCAAGAGTCTGGGGGAGTTTCCCTCTTTTGTTTGACTGGTTGATTTTGTTAAACACGGGTTCTGCGTTCTTTTGCCACTAACATCAAAGGAAGACATTGTCCTAGCCCTGTCTCCACTCTGCTCCTGGGTCATATGACACATAGCTTTTCTGGGGAGCCACCTTCACGAATCCTGATCTGCCTTTAGCCAGTCTGACAGATACAAGGATTGTAAAGAGACACTTGTGTCTCTCAGTCTGGCTATGATACTGTT